CTCTGGACATGTCCAAACCACTGTCCCTCCTCTGGATGTGTCCAAACCACTGTCCTTTTCTGGACATCTCTTGGGCGGCTGCGGCTGAGTGGTTAGAGTAGTCGTCTTCCAATGCAAGAGTTGGGGGTTCAAATCAACCAGCAGTCACATGCCGAAGTGTCCCTGGGCAAGACACTGAACCCCTTGTTGCCTCTGTTGTGTGTCCCATCCGTGTATGAATGTGATAAAGCTCTGATTAGTTTCTTTAGAATGATTTGTTCAATTAGCTTTGTAGAGATCTAGTAGAGTGCTGTGTGAATGGGTACTTGAGGACACAGATTGCTTTGAGTATCTCAATAAGATAGAAAGGCGCTATTTAAGTACAGTCCATTTACCATTTACATGTCCAAACCATCTCAGTCTGGCCTCTCTAACTTTATCTCCCAGTTGTTCAACCTGTGCTGTATCTCTGATTATCTTTTTCCTAATCTTATCCATCCTTGTCACTCCTAAGGAGAAACTCAACATCTTCATTTCTCCTACTTCCAATTCCGTTTCCTGTCTTTTTGTTCATGTCTCTGTCTCCAGACCATACAACATAGCTGGTCTCACCACTGTCTTGTTAACTTTTCCTTTGACCTCTGCTGACACCCTTTTGTCAGAAATAAATAATGAAACTTTTCTCCATTCACTCCATCCTGCCTGGACTCTCTTTTCCACCTCTTTACCACACTCCCCATTTTCCTGGACAATGGACCCCAAGTCTTTGAAGTCCTGCACCTTTGTGACCTCTGCTCCTTGTAGCCTCACTGTTCCACCGGCCTCCCTCTCATTCACACACATGTACTCTGTCTTACTACGGCTGACTTTCATTCCTCTTCTTTCAAGTGCATACCTCCACCTCTCCTAGTTCTCTTCCACCTGTTCCCTGTTCTCACCACAGATCACAATGTCGTCTGCAAATATTTGTTGGTCACATAAAACCCAGGAAAGAAAAATTGATTATTTACAAGAAGAACAGCAGAGAACCAGCAAAATAATCCGTTTGTTGTTTATTTCTTCATTTAATTTTGTAAAGTAGATGCACTTTTGTCCAACTAAAGCCACAGACAGGAAGGTTTGTTTGAAACACTTAAAACTGACTTTAAACAAACTGCTTCAGCTCGTGTTGAGATTTGGAAGAGGCGAGCGCTGTACAATTTAAACAGATGTTCATAAAGACACGTGTTTTTCTGTTTTTCTAGTCTTAACGTGACGCCTTTCAGAGGTAAACACTAGAAGGTTGTTCAGTGCACTTTTTTTCCCCCCTCAAAACCAAAGTTAAAGCAATACAACACAGGGAAATTTGTGTATTTATGATGTCTGTTCATAGCATATTTTAAAACGTTTTCTAATTTTTTGTATTTTTTACTGTTTTTGCTCTTGTTTTCTACTTGACCTGGCTCAACGCTACAGAGATTTGTACATCTAAAGTTGCATCCTAATAAGGAAAACCTTGAATCTTCTAACGTCAGAACCTCATCTGTACGTTGGAATACACCGAGATCAGAACCATACTTGTGTTAGTTATATAATGTTAATGATTGGCGGTGTGTTTACCTGTGGCTGAAATAAACACGTGTTCAGATGTTAGATCAATGAAGGTGATTAGATTAGTTACGGTGACAACAGCCTCTTTATTTAATCTATCCATATGTCTGCTGGTAAATAAAATGCTGAATTAAACTCAGCCTCCAGTGAATTTTTTTTTATCTTTGGTTTGTATTTATTTGTTACAAGGATATTCCAGATGTCCCAGATCCTACGCTGAAGGTCTTGGCCTGAAGACGCCAACAGAACAACATCATCTGCATAAAGCAGAGAGGAGACCATGAGGTTCCTAAACCAGACCCCCTATATCTCCTCTTTGTCTTTTATTATGTCTAGGCCTGTCACGATAACAAATTTTGCTGGGCGATTAATTGTCTCCGAAATTATTGCGATAAACGATAATATTGTTTGAAATATGACAGTAATTGTCAAATTTAAGAAGAAATTGTTGATTTGTTTTGAGTGTAGTACCTATTTTTGACCACTGGATGTCAGTATAAGACTAGTTGAACCAAAGGTTGGATGTGAGGGAGCAGCAATATGTCTCTTAAGAAAAATGGGAGGGAGGCCCCTTGAAGTGACATGGGCTGTCTCGTTCCTTTTTTCAGTTCTCAAAATGGCGGACGCTCGGTGTGGTTTGAGGTCTTTAGCATAGCATTTTTCACACAAAGATTTAATAAAAAAATCAGTAAACAAGTTCTCAGCTTGTTTTTGTAGAGAAAAACAACTTTTTACACGAAGGCACGGGTTTCAACCATGAATTTTGGCGCTTCGACAAGACGGCGTTTTTTTCCCGAGGTCAGCCTGTTAGCTTAGCTTGTAGCTTAGCTTCTCAGCTTAGCTGCTTTTAATGATCCAAAAACACAAGTTTGGACGGTTAAAACAGATTTTAAAGAGAACAGAGAAAGGGAGGGGTCAGTGAAGAGCACCGAGTTGAGCCTTTTGTCATCCAGTGTCTTCAGTAAAAAGAGAGAGACATGAAGAAACGATAAAGCTGACAAATGAAAATGAGGTAGATAATTTTCATTTATCATGCGATTTAATAGTAATTAGCGTTTCTACAGAATAATTAAATCAAGTTGTGGACCTCTTTAAATGTACAACTAATGAGAAAATATGCAGAACTTCATTTATTCACTGTGTTCTGATGCCTGATGCGCGACAGAATATAATAAGGTTCACATGGCACAAATGTAAAAAAAGTTGTTGGTGTCTTTGTTGCAGTTCTAGCTAAACGCAATAAATGGTTTGCTTAATGATGGGTTCTAAACAAACAAATAAAACCATGATAGAGTCATGTTGTTTTGCTTCAAACATCTCCATCTTCTACCGCTTATCTGTAGTCATGTTGCAGAGGCAACAAGTCCAGGAGAGAAACAAAGACCCCGGCAACACCTTCCAGCTCCTCCTGGGGGATCTTAAGGTGTTCCCAGGTCAGAGAAGATACACGATCCCTTCAGCAGCTTCTGGGTCTTCCCCCAGTCTCCTACCAGTGGGATATGCCCGGAAAACTCTAAAGGGAGGTGTCCAGGAGGTGTCCAGGAGGCATCCTAATCAGATGAACCACTTCACCTGACTCCTTTAGATGAGGAGGAGCAGCAGCTCTGCTCCGTGCTCCTCCTGATGACGTAGCTCCTCACCCTGTCTCTAAGGCTAAGCAGGCCACCCTACAATGGAAGCTCAGGTCAGCCACTTTTATCCGGGATCCCTATCTTTCAGTCATGATCCATGATCCTCATGAACACAGGTGAGGGATGGAACATAAACTGGACAGGTTTGCCATTTGACTCGGATCGTTTTTCACCACGACAGATCGAAGCAACGCCCTCATTACTGAGGATGCATAGGTACATGAACTCTTCCACCTAAACCAGGGGGCATTCCACCTGTTACCTGAGAACCATGGCCTAAGATTTTGAGGAAATGACTCTCATCCCAGCCACTTCACTCTTGTCTGCGAACTTCCCCAATACACGCTGAAGGCCTTGGTCTGAAGATTCCAACAGAACCACATCATCTGCATAAAGCCCGCCACAGTACAGAGAGTGCACTTATGAGGGTATCAAATGATATATTCTTGTCAACAGATTCTGGAAGGTTTGTTGTTTTAGTGCTCTTAGATTTGTCTGCTGCATTTGACACTGTTGATCACAGGATTTTAATCTCTTGTCTTGAGCACTGTGTGGGCACCAGGGGTGTCGCCCTCAATTGGTTTCGGTCATATTTAACCAATAGGAGTTTCTGCGTAAAAATGGACAATTTTATATCTTCCACTGCTCCTCTTCCACATGGTGTCCCCCAGGGCTCAATCCTTGGCCCTCTTTTATTTGCTCTTTACTTACTCCCCTTGAACTCTATTTTCAGGAAGCATGGCATTTTATTTCACTTCTATGCTGATGATTGCCAGATCTATTTTCCCATGGCACAAAACAACACATTCCAGCAACTTACACACTGCTTTAACGATGTTAAGGCATGGTTTTCTCTTAACTTCCTTAGTCTAAATGAGAACAAGACTGAAAATATGATGTTTGGACCGAGTTGCTGTCCCTCTCCCAGCATAGATCTTGGTCACTGTCGTTTTATCTCAGGGACTGTGTCACCAATCTGAGGGTGAAGTTTGAGTCTGATTTTAAATTTGAAAAACAGATCAGCAGTGTTGTTCAGAAAAGGTTTTTTTTATCAACTTCACCAAATAGCAAAAGTGAAACCAATCTTAGCAAGATCTGACTTGGAGAAATTAATCCATGCTTTTATCACAGCTCTTCTTGACTACTGTAATGCACTGTATATAGGCATTAGCCGGACCTCTCTTGCCCGTCTGCAGCTTGTGCAG